GCGGTCCTACAGCGGTCCTACATACAGGTGGTAATACAGAACTGCACGGAAAGCAGATGGGGAGGGGGGACCTACTCACACAGCTCGCTGGAAGGTAGAACCGAGTGGCAGGCGGCTAAACAGTGGGTATTACGTATCTTGTTAGGGGGGGGCAGGGGGTGGGGGGGTGCACTTGGTTCCATTCGGGTTAGAAGGTGCTGGGAGCATTCTTTTCAATTTCATTTAATCTATTTCTTGGAGTCGATTAATAACAAACCAAAAAAAAAAAAAAAAAAGGATTTTGCGAAAGACTAAATAACAATAATAAAGAAGGAAAATCCTTTGGTCTGTAGCACATCTGTGGTCCGTGGAGAGATATTCTGGAAGACTGGTCTGATATTAATGGGGCATCCGCAGAATCCACAAAGTACAGTATTACAGGTACGGCCCGCTGTGAGTGGCAAGGCACTGTACGACAAACACCCCGTTATAAAGTGTGGGTTTTTTTTTTGGGGGAGGGGAGGGGGAGGGGGGAGGGTTCCTTCTTTCTCTCTTTCTTCTCTTTCTTTCCTTTTCCCTTTTTTTGCCGGAAACAACCTGGGTGATGATACTACAAGTCATTCTCTCCTGGGTAAGGTAGATTACGAGTACAGGTAGGCTACATCGCTGGTCCCCCAATCCTCAATCCTTGTACCCAACCAGCATGACACATTGCTTCGACTTGGACCTCTACGCAATCTCTCGGCAAGACCAGAGGGTCCCCTGTCTGTGTGGTGTGTGTGTGTGCGCGCGAGCGCGCGTGTACAGGCTTAACCATGTCAGGGCACGCCATCCTTCGCAGCCTTCCTCGCAGCCTTCCACTTTATGCGTTTCATGGATGCTTGTACGATAAAAGGGGAGGGGACTGTCACACATCAGGCAAACCAACCAACCAACAACTGACAATCAATACGAGTACATGGTAATCTGTACATATTATGTATATGTATATATTAAAGATATAACAAGTAGCATTAGGGCCTAGATGTTATTACTTGCACGATATTATATGTACATGTCCTTGGGAGATCCAAGATGTGAAACAGCGATACCCGGCATTGCTTCTCCCGGTGGCCGAGTGTTATGCTCGTACTTTTTTTTTTTTTTTTTTTTTTTTTTT